CAAAGTTTAAAAAAGTGCAACACGCCAAATTAAATTAACAGGTGGGTTGGGTTGGTGAGTTAGGTGCGTCGTGTCATGGAGCCCAGTGCTTAAATGTGACACAAAAGGACGCGACAAAATTCAACAACTTAAGTTATTGGTGGGTGATAAAGCCACCGTGGACATACGCCACTCATTACATTTCGGCGGACAATTATTTACCGCAATTCGTACATAGGCAGCATGCCTACCCCTGGACCCATCGACGCGGAACGAGGCGAAGTACTCACGCACGTATTGGCGGGGCACAACAACAAATGCAATCGGCGACCAAATAAGTGCCGTGAGACACAGGAGACCGACACTACAGACACGGTACGTCTGTGATTAGACCTGACAGAGCGTCGCGATCGACCGCCTCCGTCAAACACTACATACGAAAACAAATTCCTCGTAGGTACATACGGCACCACCAAAGCTCCGTGAACGGCAACAAGAACTGACGGGTCACAGTTACACCGACAACAAACGGCAGTCGTACAGCGCATATAAGCCACAGTACGCAACATGTGGTCACACTTATTAGTGCGCGTAAACAATTTATTGGTCATATACACAAGACGCGCGAAATACGCGTTCAACCATTTGGGTGGGTCACACCGGGATAGCGACGGAAACGAGTCGTCCCATTCCGACAGATTTCCCTTCGTTCCAGGTGTACCACATAAGTATAAAACGAATCGATGATATGAAACAATCGGCATTAAGCCGCGCGACGTCTTATTTACGTTCTTCGACGATTTACCGTACTGCCAAACACAGTCGGTTGTTAACAATGTGCGGATATGATTCCCGCGACTAAAAACATATTTTTTGAACGATTCGTGGGGGCCAATTACCCAAAGCACGATGATTTTGACGCCTACCCACGGACGCAAAGACGACGGCGACCACACGTATCGAGGACGGCGGCGCGCTGGTAGATGTACCGAAAACGAAAGACAGCGTTCCGTGATAATACGTTTAAACATTGTGGGTGGACGGCACACCACGGGGTGGGACGGGAACACCGGCGGTTGTGTACGCGACACCGGTTGCGACGGCGGCACGTATACGCGCTTTAACACGGCCGGCGCTTGAATACAGGTCAATGACCTCTTATTGGCTCCACTGGAAACGCGCGCTGCGCGAATAGTACCGGGAGGGAGCCCGTCCCTAAACAAATCATAAATACACGGCCTTATAAAATTTGGCGATACTACCAAAGGTCCGAACACTGACACTAACTTGACCAACGGCATACAATGAGTCAATAAACTACAATTGGAAATATGAACACGAGTCACTGATTGTATAACTGTTGAACGGAGCACGGCTGAAAATGCATCAGACGCCGACTGACGGGACGCCAACACTTCCGAAAAACGACCACTCGGAAATATTGTACATTGGCCACGGACAGACATTTAAGTACGCGAAACTGACTCACAAGTCGTCGGATGTACTTTACTAATAATATTCCGCTCCGCAACCGTAGGACCAATTTGCGCCAAAACAGTTTTGGATGCATCGACAAGGTCACGCATAGTGATTTTTAAAGCACGTGAATACTCGTCAGCCCTATTAAGCTCAAACAAACAATTTAAAACGGCCAAATCAAAAGACTTAAAGTCATCCCACACCCAGTCTATGTCAGCAACATGAAAGGAATACTGGAATGCTAAACTATTATCGGTACGTACACGTACTCCCATGTCGTGTATACTTCGGATTATCGATATCATGGCCGCGCGCTTTATAGTGTACAATTTCAATAATCGTGTAAGGCGACGAAAACGTTCGTCATCTTCGACCATGGTAGCGAACAAAACCCTACGCTTCCCTGGAGGACTGCAAGTTGCAACCAAATAATGTTCCAATGGACTCAGTTCCAACGACACGGTAAAAACAACCGGCGTGAAAGGACAATAATAAAAACGTTACGTGGAATATCTCACAGCGACCGGCGTGAATAATAAATAATAATATTGATATATGAACGAAATCAATTCAACGGCCGGCGCGATTACGTTAGTACAATTATTGATATATCGATGATATCAACGGCGCGACCGACACGACTCATTTGTTATATAATCTAGATATATGGACGATATCAGAAATAACGATCGGTGAGTGTACCTACTTACTAACTAACGACACTGAATATCTCAATGATATCCAGATAATGCGTAGTTACCTAACGGCTAACTGTAATCTATATGACTATATATATAGCTTGTGTATAGCTGATAGCAACACTGAGACCTACGCGGTTAACTAATTGTGTTATAGATATAACGGCTATACAATTGGCGCTCAGTACACATTAAATAAATTCAACTTATCTATAATAATAATATTCACAAACGGGGAAGACCGGGCAACTAATAAACCCATACAATAATTGTCAACCTCCTGTGAACACCCAAGCACTGTACTCGGTACCCAAAATACCAGGGCAAACACAACCAACACGACCAAAACAAACCGCTACCGAACCCCCCTGTGAGGTCGGATAACCACGCCCTGCTACCAATGTTTGATCGCCGCACCGCACCTACTTTTCTATCGCGGTTTGCGACAACGACTTGCGGTGTGTTGAGACGTGAAAAGGTTACCCAAGTATAAAAAATGATAAATTCCAAATGCGAGTACAAATGCGCTAGGCGCTTAATAATTATTATAGATAACAACAACCTAGGTACATAAAACAGGAATATATAACATAGGTACTAACAGACAGGGCGCCCCAAAACATAACAATATAGGTACTTAAAACAATTACAACGTCGGTCCGCCGTCGGTGATAGGTCCACTTGATGGATGTTGATGGATGGGCAACACCATGAACTGAATGGACAGCAACAAGCCATCTGCGGCACGCAATGATCGGCAACAAGCCAGTGGCGGCACGCAATGATATAAGCGGCGGCACGAAATGAACGGCACGAGCCAGTGGCGGCACGCAAAGATATAAGCGGCGGCACGAAAAGAACGGCGACGAGCCAGTGGCGGCACGCAGATATAAGCGGCGGCACGAAAAGAACGGCGACGAGCCAGTGGCGGCACGCAAAGATATAAGCGGCGACACGAATAGGTATAACGGTTTAACAACGCGAAGACTACATGTGGTTTGGTCGCCAAAACCTAGTGAAACGCGGCGAGCGAACGCAACGATGCGTCGGGCTCGACCGCCTGGAAAAGACACACGAACTAGGAGGCGGCACAGCCTACGGTGGCGAACGGCCCGGAGCTGGACGGCCGAGGAGGGGGTAAGCCACCTCGTGAGCTTCGGCATCCGAGGCGCAGCTTTGGGGACATATGCCGAAACTAGGATGGCGCGAAAACGCGTCCGTGTTCGAACACACCTATTGCGAACATTTTTATACATGAACCCTACTACCTACCTACCTACTTAATTTTTTTTCTACCTGCAATGCCCAAGTAACAGTGATTATTATATTTATTAATTAATTTGTTACCAAGGTATCAATTTATATTTTTATTGTTTTTAATTTTTTTATACATTCACCCAACCTAACCTCGAGTCGTCCAGTGTTGACTAAATAGTGACTTAGGTACATTTTGTTTATTTGAAAAGCTGCGTTTATGCAAATTATTATATTATAATTTTACAATAATTTTTACCACTAAACACATCACTTCAATAACATAAATAAAAGTTAATCTGCAGCACCCAGTAACGATATTGGGGACGGGGAAGTTACTCAGCCTAGAGTGACATAACTAAATGTGTTGATTGTTTCAATGAGGAAATTATTTATCGGTTCATTCGGTCCTTTAAAATGCAATACATCCTCCAATTATAGTATCATATCTAAGGAGTAAAGAGTAAGGACTACCCATGGTGTGAAGTCAGTCCGTATTTTTATGTATCTATTAAATTTAGGTACCTCTGATGAGGAGCCCGTACACATTTGTTTACACCTGGATCTTTTGCTCTCTACTCTCTAGTTACGGCACTACATCTTGGGCAAGATGTACTTACTGAATATAAATTGATTGTGGATATCAATGTATACACTTTGACTGCACAGACTTCTATAGTTCTATAGTAGGACAGTAGGTATACCAGATACCAACTCACCACGATTTAATAATTTAAGATATATAGGATATAGGTACTTACTTAAGAGGACATAACAATTAACAGTATAACACGGGCATCTGTTGTCCCCGTCTTACAAGTGCGTAACACAGCAAATGTATGCTCGGCAGATCGAGTTTGGCTTCGTCAGTTAAAAAACTAGATTTTATGGCCATGTATGTGTGTGTTAACATTTGACAGATTTTCAATACAGGGTTATAGATTACATTTACATGAATATACAAATTATAAGTGATATTCACAATAAAAAATATAACAAAATTCATAAATACATGGTATTTACAATATATAACAAAAAAATAGATTGTGCCATATTGTCCACTAATCTTGAAAATAATGAATGCTCATATTAATGATGAACTTAGTAGTTCAGTAGTTGCAGTAAAATACATTTTTAAGTATATACACAAAGGAAGTGATCAAGCCATTTTTTCGATAGAAAATAAAAATAATAATGAAATTGAAGAATATCAATCAGGAAGATAGAAAAATAGTAACGAAGCAATGTGCCGAATTTTTGGTTTAAAAATTCGTGATCGAAAATGGTCAGTGTTTATTTTTCAAATGATAATGTAGAAAAAAAAAGTTGAAAAACCACCTGAAACAACTTTAACAGCATTTTTTAGTTTAGTTAGACAGATGGTTTCTCGAAAACGTTATTATACGACGGTATCCCGAAATATTTTACATGGGACAATTCACAAAAAAATTTTAATCGTAGAAAACAAGGATTACGTCACAGTCCTGAGATCTTCCAATCGGACACTCTTGGTCGAAAGTATACAATACATCCAAGTATACTAAGAATTACACTCTAAGAATTTTATTATATTATAATGTTATTGGTCCAATGTCTTTCGAATATTTAAGAACAGTAAATGGTATTACATACAAATCATATAGAGAAGCATGCCAACAGCTCAGTTTACTCAAAGATGATAAAAATTGGGATGATGCATTAACGAAAGCAAATGAAACAAAGAAGTTGTGTAGTTTAAGATCATTATTTTCAATTATCTTGACTTCATGTAACCCATCGCATCCACAATCATTATGGGAAAAATATAAAAAAATTATGAGTGAAGTTATATTATATCGGAATAAGAAATTAAATTGTTGTAATGATTTAGATTATGCAGATGAAATATTCAATGAAGCTCTCATAATTATAGAAGATATGTACTATAAATAACAGGGAAAAATTTGAATCAATGGGTAATAACTTCTAATTTTCGAACTGAAAATATATCAAAAGATTCAGAAATCATTCGTGAAACCAATGGTGAAACGTCGTATGATACTGAAAAACTGATTACATATATCAATACTAATAAATTAAGAAACGAAATGGGGCCAAACATTTTGGATGCTATTTTAAGTACAAGAGCAGGTTTAAAAAGAAACTAGGTTTGCTGCTCAGAAAACAATAATTTACCGACATCAGTCTTAAAACATATTGGTTCGACTGCAATATACTCTTCCCAAGCTGAATTAAGTAAATTAGTTATTACCTACTTATTAATGATAATAACACTGAACAGCCTGAATCTGAAAACAATACTGAATTCTGTTTTAGTTTGTATTTATATATTTTTGTGATCCTAATTATCATTTTATTAAATTTATAAATAGTTTATCATTATTATGATATAATATAAGCAATTTGTATAGGTTAAGTCGGTTATTTGGAAGAAAAGAAAATAATTTAAATAGTATGTCTATAAAATGTTGTTCTCAACTCTCAAGCACAGATATCTATACTATATAGTTACTGTGTTATAAAGTAACTATTATCTAACCTACGTATAATAATATCTTTTTAAATACAGTATAATATATTATGTTTATCTTTAAAATTTATCTTATTATTAATTATAATTATAATAAAATCCAACATTTTACATAGATAATAGAAAATACTTTATGGCTTTTTATAGCTTTTTTATAACCTTTTTATTTTTTTTTTGGTTGTACATGTTGGCAACACTGATCCACAACCGTGGATTATTCGTGTGAATTATCACTTATCTTATATCTATGGTGATTGGTATTTTCACAGGTATTTTAAAATATTTTACGTTTTCTATCCACTTTAAACTTTACAAAAATATTATTTTAATTTTATATTCCAAACATATTATATTGCAACACTTTACAAACGATATTGCTCATAATTTTTGATTTATTTATAACGGAAATCACAATGGATCAGAAAACATTCGACGAGGCTGTGAACGACACTATGGATTTATTAGACATGAACTATTCTGAAGCTTTAAAAGATACAATCAGTCAGTTTCAGCAATTGGTGCGTTTCATTTACGATTCGCTGGTCAGAAATGTATACTTTTGTTATTTCAAAATTATTTTAGGGAATGGATATGGGTGGAATAAAAATAGACATAGAAAAGGCTACAGATCCACTGCCATCTGCACTTTATAAATTAAAAATGTATTATGAAACCTCCGTATGGGAGGAATCGACAAAGGAACAGATTGTGAGTAATCTTTCAATCGTTGAAAACGAATGCAAGACACACGAGGGCCGCCATTTGTCCAAGTTGAGTGGTGCTTATAATATTGTGTGTGGATATCTAGATAGACTCGCTGAACTAGATGTTGATCAAAAAGCACAACTCATTAAAACATTTGATTCACTCCTTGGAGGTAATTTATGCATATTTGATATTATCTAAAAGAGTTTCTATGGTGTGGTTTGTGTGGACCACCTTTAAATTAACGGTTGGCTGTGTGGATAAAATTTTTTAGGAGATTAACATGTAGAAATACCTTAAATATATGTAATAATTACTGATCAAAAAGTTGTAATATTTTGTAGTAATTTTCATTTGTGTTCTTATGTTAATCTCAATTTTTAAATTACTTCTATACATTTTCTTCATAAAATTACAACTTTGTTACAGGTGGACAAGTTGTGTATGGTAAAGCATTAGACATTATGGTTGAATTGTTGAAGAATACAAAAGACGAAAAAGTGTTATTAGCTCAATTATCCTGGTTCAAAACAATTAGTGAACTTGAAGATGAAAGAGAGGTACCTATAATGAAAAATATATTAAGCTACCTATAATGTACAGGTTTTTTTTTTTAACTTAACTACCTATCGTTGTTAAACCAACAATATTATAATATTTTTGTATTATTTTGTTTTTATTAATATCGAAATTTATAAAATATTTAAAAAAAAGTGGGTTCTTATTTAGAATATAATTTTTTAGGAACTTCGAATTATTGGTATAGGCGATATTATGAAAGACATTTTACAATCAAATTCTTCAAATGAAGCTGTGATTATTGCAACTTGCCAGTTGATTAGAGCTCAACTACGTGAAGATAATTGTAGTGGAGATTTCTCTAATGCGGGGGAACGATCACGACTTTTTGGTTGTGAACTAATGTTACCTCTACTTCAATTGTTAAAAGGTGAGTTAAATATTTAACTATGTTAAAAATATATTTTTATAATTATTATGGAAGAACGAAAACAAAAATCTTTTCTATTTATTCAGTTTACAATAACGTAAATATGTAATAAAATAAATTGCACATTTGTTTGCAAAATACCCAGTTTATTCAAAACAAAAAGAAAACAGAGTTAAAAATGATTCATACTAGTTTTGTTCCTAATTACATAAATAAAAATATTATTTTATATGTATATATTTCAGATGATAAAATAATTGAGTTAGAAGAAGTAACTAGTGAAATATTCTTTACCTTAGCTACGATTATTGTTCGTTTTGAATTTTGTCGCAAATTTAATGAATGTGGAGGCTTGTTAAGACTTAAATTAGCCATGGACCGTCATTGCACAATGGTACATATTATCATTGAGTATCTTGTACTAATTAATAATTATAAAAAAATATATTGGATATTTAATGTAACAAAATGTAATCTGTTCTTGATATTTATTACAGAGATTGAATTGTCAGGCCTTTAAACTTCTTAAATCACTCGCCGGTGATGATATTGTGAAAGACGATATCAGAAAAGTAGGATTTTGTCCACTCATACTTTCAGCCTTACAGAGGCATATAGTGAGTAATTTTTTTTCTATGGAAAACTTTGAATTAATGAATATACCTAAATTAACTCTTTTTTTTCTGTAGAACAACAAACAATTGTGTATTGATGCAATGAAGTTATTGACGGCTTTGACATTGCGCTCTCCACAAAACAGCGCTGAATTGACACAATTAGGTATTGCGGAGCTCATTGTTCAGGCAATGAAAGTGCATTCGAATGATGACAAACATCAGGTATTTTATAAAATATATTTAATTTACTAGGTAATAATTTAGTATTGAGTTTACAAACAATGTTTATCAACAAACAACATAGTCAAATATTCAAAATTATTTACAATGGACTAAACATATTTGTACTGGAAACAAAAATGATTTAAATTTAATACTAACTAACATTGTCACAATAATCAATAATAAATTAAAATACATATTATAATCCTAACTTGTAATTATTTTAATTTGATTACGTTAAATAATAATAATTGTAAAATGTTTGTGTTTCATTTGCAGAAACATGCTTGTACAGCTGTGCGCAATATAGTTTCAAGAAACCGTGAACTAGCCTCAGAGTTTTTGGCTCATAATATTGAAAGCATAATTGAAAAAATAATAAGCCAATATAAAAATTGCGAGTTTGAAGCTAAAAGTGCTTTACGAGATCTTGGCTTGGATGTTAGCTTTGTTGAACAATGGACTGGCACTGGTCAGAATTTATCATCGTAGAGTTATTGTTATATTATTAAAGTTAATAACTATTAACTACTATTCAAATTCCAATAATTATTAATTAACGTGGTTTTTTCCCCACATTAATCACAATAACTTTACTAATTTTTGTTACTTTTATATTGTTTATAATAAATTATTGTTATACTAAAATAATATATTATATTCTGCTTCATGCTTATCGAAAAATTTGTATATGATAATTATTAATTTATTTTAATGTTAAAAAATTGAAAGATTGACTAGTAACTAACCCTTTAAAGAATTAATTAAAATTATAGTCAAGAAGCTCTCAACAATTTACCTATATATTAATTAAATATATTAAGTAATAACACTTTCACAAAATAGTGTTAAAAATTTAAATCTATTTCATAAATTTTTTATTTAATTTTGTCATCACATTTATCACATAATGTCCTACCTTATATTTCAACCACTTTGCTTGTTTATTATGTATTAATATATTATAAACTTTGTGGTTTTCAATTTATGAACACTGCCACATAATATTATAGTCTTATTTTATATTAATATTTTTAATTTTACATACTCATAACTATAGATAGGATGTTGATGACTTTTGCATTTTTTTCCTTTGATACTATAAAATGCTATCTTAGATAAAAAAATTATTTAATGCTCTATTGATTCAGAATATACTACATTTATTTTGCATTTTTTTTTTACACTTTTAGCATTAAATGCATTTTCTTATAATTATAGATATTTTTTTGTAGTTTTTGTACAATGTGGGTCATTTTTCTCAAAATTTAAATTTTAAAGAATATTTGTTTAAAAAATAATTTTATTATTATTATTGGTGGGTTTTGACAAACAATGAAAGCTAATTTTTTTTTATTTATATTTTACCTTTTAATTTATTTTTAATAATTTCATATAATTTTTATTACTGTAAATTAACTTAAATTGAAATGTTTACTAAATGTTGTTTACAAATATTTTTAGGTCATTTTTGATACTCTTTTAGGTCATCAACATCCTAACTCTAGTCATAACCCACTTAAAAATTAAAATATCAAAAAACGAACAAGAAAACAAAGATAATGTTCTTACCTAAAAGTTTGTTAGTAGGTCAATTCACTCTAATATCAAAACTAACAGCACACTATTGAAACTAGTGAACAAAAATTTGGTATGTCATACGTGTGTAAGATGGAGACAAGATATGTGGGTACAACATCCTCTTAAGCCATACCAAATATAATAATCGTAGAAAATATACAGAGCATTAATAGAAATTTTGTGGATGAATCCAGTGTGAAAAATAATGCTCCGGGAAGTTTGGACAATATCATTTACATGGTTCATTGGTGTGGGATATATTTTTTTTTATACATACAGAGATAAAGTGTCCTACGTTAAATGGATCACCCTATATAACTTAAGCCTGGAAACTATGGTCATTAGCTGTTGAAGGGGATTATGAGCTGTAGTAGGTAAGATGTTGTTACAGTAGGTAAGCAAACACTTGTATGTGTGGCAAGGTTTATACTACTATGAACCCGGGTGGCCACCCATCCGGGAATTAGTAGCCGCAGGCGTTACTTACTCTCAATTGCATTGAGCGACTGGTAGCAGCCAACGCGCAGCGTCAAGACATGTGGGATGATTTTAAAACAGTCTAGTTAAGCAAATTTCTATTGACATGGATACAAAATACATACATTTGAACATTAAAAGTCCCAACACACTGCAGAGGTAGCGGTGGCGGATACGGAAAAATTAGTCCGGACACAATTTTACCGGCACCGCCAAGGCAAAAGATTTTTAGATGTGCGGCGACCTTAAAATGAGGAAAAAAAATGTAAATGAGTTTGAAGAAGATTTCTTCTAACTCTTAAACAATACATTTTTTGTTAAAACCTTGAATTTTATGCAGAAAACCACTAAGAGGGTCTATACAGATATTTATTGTCTCCGTTTTACAAGTGGTAAGAACATTATCTGTGTTTGTATGTTGGCTTTTTACAATACTTTAGTTTTTAAGTGATTTATGAACATTTTTAATTTTGCAATATTATATACGTATAACTTCCTAAAAAAATTTAACTATTGTATAAAACCCACATACAAACTCAGATAATGTACTTACCATTAAAGTTCATTATAGGTCTATTCACTATAATTTTTAAACTAACGGAACTAATTGCATTCCCCTGAGCGTAAATTTGCTATGTTACAGACTTCTAAAACGAAGAAAACAAAAGGCTGTGTAGCGTCCACTTAAGATGGAGCTAATTCCATGTCCAAAATGATTGCAAAAACATTTAAACATTGCGCATTTGAGCTGCTATGCCTATGCGCAACTTGCAATACAGCAAAAATGTAGCTAGTTTTGATGGTAAATAAAATTATTGAGATTAGCAAGACAATATAATATATTTGTAACTATTACATATTAGAGATCAGAAGAAAGAGAACTCCCATGAGTAAAAAAAATTAAGATTGAATATTTGTAAGAAGTTTAATAGTTAGATATAATAGAATTAAAGAAAATAGAGATATTATGTTTTGATGATTTACTTCAAATTGATTTATTGGTTTTTATTTATATGGCCGGTTTTTCCATAATTTTCTTTTTGGTTCTTAAGCATTTGATTTGCATTCACATCATTCATTCGACCTATGTTTTGTTTTTTTACTGAATCAACCGAATCGCTATTCACAGCTTGGTACTGTTTCTGTTCTGGAGCATATTGTTGAAGAGGTGGTGATTGACCTTGTTGCTGTTGTGTTTGAGTGTCATTAGATTTTTGTTCTGTTTGAGCCGGTTGCTGAGGAACTGCATTTTGAGAAATGCTTTGGTGTTGTTGTTGCTGTTGCTGCTGCTGGTGTTGTTGCTGTTGCTGCTGATGTTGTTGTTGTTGTGGCTGCTGTTGCATTTGTTGTGGCTGCTGTTGCATTTGTTGTGGCTGCTGTTGCATTTGTTGTGGCTGCTGTTGCATTTGTTGTGGCTGCTGTGGCATTTGTTGTGGCTGCTGTTGCATATGTTGTGGCTGCTGTTGCATATGATGTGGCTGCTGATGCTGTGGTTGCTGATATTGTGGTAACTGTTGTTGATTTTGTGGGTGCTGTGGCTGGAATTGTTGGTGCTGTTGGTTCATTTGTTGTTGTCCCACATATGGCTCTTGAGGATATCCCATTTGTTGTTGTTGATAGTTAGGATGCATTTGATAAGCCGGTCCATGATTCAGTGAAGGTTTTGGGATATTCTGAAAAAAAAGAAAATTTAAAAATATTTATACAGTATGAAGTAGAAGACTGTTAATCTAAAATATATTTTGATCCCTAATCAATATTTTCATTTTCATTTTATATTTTTACAAATATATACTTAAAAGTTAAATTAAAGTTCTGCCAATCAGCATTATTCCTAAAAACTAAATTTGTTTCATTTAATCTAGACATTTATAGATAGGCCATAAAACGATTCATTGGTTCTTGATTCAGACTGTATGACTGTTCAATTTATATACTATTTTAAACATTGAGAGTATTAATTTTTATTGAAAGTACAAAAGCTATAGAAAAAGTTGAAGAATGGATAACTTTGGATTGCACGACCATCACTAATAAGGTGATTTTTATAATGTTATACATATTAATTAAATACTATAATAAATTAAATAATATATTATAATATATTAAATTAAACTTCTAATAAAAATCAGTCAACTGAATTACTTAATTAATAATTCCAAATTAATACAAATAACATATGTTTTTAGTGATATACTTAATACATTCATTTTCATTTATGTTTATAAAACTACTATAGACGCTAATGGGACCAGAATTTGTCTAACTTTTTAATTTTTTTTTTTTTTTAAATATTTAAAATAGTAGGTATAATAGTAACTTGTATATAATTTGTTAAAACGCCTCTAATCACACCAGATACAGCAGAGCAGTTACCTATGGAGCAACCAGCCATTATCTCTTTTATAATCTTTCATATTTAAAAATAACTAAATATTTTATATATTGCCTTTAGCACAAAAATGTACACATCTAAATATAATTTTAGCCATTTTAGGTGGGTAAATCATTGTGTAAAGTGAGCAACTTTTACAAGTGTATAATAGACGATTATATCGAGCCCGACCCAATGATATATGGCCACTCTAAATACCCAATTATCTCCTTAAATAATATTTATTTATTTATTTATTTTTTGTTGAATTTCGACCAAATTGTTTTTAATAGTTATAAATAAAATAATTTAATATTTAATAATAAATTGAAAAAAAATATTTTTGTGCTGTGTTGGAATGACTTAGTATTTCTGCCCCACATTGTATATTTGGAAATGATAGGTTTTCTGTAGACACATATGACATATTAATAAAAAAAAAAAGTGTCAACAAGTGGGTGCCGTCCTGCTGTACACTAGGTTACAAGTATGGGACACTGTAATGGATGGTGTTAATTTTTAATTCAATGATATATCATTGTAGAAGAAAAACAATTCTGAGCGAACACTGTCAGTCAGCCTAGTATGATATTACTAAGTATATTTGATGATATTATTGTGAATAAAGTAATTTATGTCTAACCTATATTTACGTAGCACCTTGTTTTAAATTTTCAATCCTTAGCTATAAAAGATGAACAATTTATAATGTTTAACAACAAAATAATTTTTAAAGATAAAATTTGATAAATTTTATCAAAATTTGAAATTTAAATGCTTATAAAAAAAAGTTGTGCTTGTGTACTTTTAATACTTTTCGACTGCTGTAGTAACAATATATCAACAGCCTTGTACTATATTTTCAAGGTTTTTACAAAACAAATACAATTTTATTGACAATTATAGAGAAGAAAATTTAAAAAATTTAAAATATCCTCAAACAGATCAAAATGTTTTTAAATGTATATCAAGTATGGAAATTGATAAAATAAACAAATAGTGTAAATTTCATGTCTCTACAGTTATTCGTTTTCGAATTACAACAAAATAAGAAAATCGC